TTAATCCGGATTTAATGAGGATTTAGGGTTACCAAAAACTAACGAGTTTCGTTAGTTTTACCATAATCACCCTCAAGAAATTGAATTTTCTGTCATTAGTTGCTGTGAAAGCCAATATGCTAGCGGGACCCCAGCCAGGGGCTCTGCCCCTTGGACCCCACTAGGCGTGCTGCCCCTAGACCCCGCCAAAGGGGCGCTGCCCCTTTGGAAACCCCGGACCCGGGGGCGCTGCCCCCGGACCCCCGACTAGTCGTCGAACCGGCTTCTAATTCGATCTTATACATGCGTGCACTCCGCACAACCCCGTACATATAATAGAGTACAAATTATGAAGCCCCTTAGCTCACATGTTAGTTCCAGTTACTTAAAATGACATGGTGACACTAAAATCACCAACAAAGAGAGAGAGAGAAGAGAGAGAGAGAGAGAGAGAGAGGAGAGAGAGAGAGTAGAGGAGAGAGAGATAGTTTTGTGATTATGAAAAATCTCAAGGTGGATAGGTACTATGGTAGGACAACAATAAACAATACAGAACTTATGAGGAACTTAAAGTTTGTGTAACTCAAGAAACCATGATTAGACATGTAAGTTCATTTCAAAATGAGGCCTCATATACCCCCCTTATTAATTTTCAACGTGTAGGATATGTTATACTAATGATTTATCCTCAAAATAAAGTTACCCATTTCTATATGAGCCCTCATCACTTGTCCCAATTTAAGAGTCACTATTAAGTTTTCAAACTTTTCTGCCGATTATATTGATTGCATTTAACAAATCTTTTCATGGAGAAAAAGTAATATGACATTTGCGACATTAATGGCGGTCGTATATTAGATGCATGGTATGTGGATACAATTGAAGATATGGTTTTTGTTGGCATCGAAAATCTCCTTTTTTGCACTTTTTCTTTGTTATTCCAAGTAGACCCACCTTGTGAAAGGTCACACATTGACGTTGATTTAGCACACCAGCATTACAGGCAAATCTTTTCCAGGGGAGCTGGATCTTTAAGTTAATACAGATTTTGTATTTCTTGTAAATATCCTTAATTTACAAAGACACATGAGCTCTTGTTTCACACCTGCTAACTTCAACAAGATAGCACAAATAAAGAATATGATATAAGAACAAAAAAAGTCAACAAGTTTGATCATCCGATCACTGTTAATTATAACTGTATGTGTGTAAATTGATATCATAAAACAGGTAACCTGACCAAGATGACTACGTACCCATATCAAAACCACCATGACCAAGTCAGCTTTGTCCTACTCAATTGCTCTCAAATCAGAAGCCATTGCCGTGTAGAAAGGGTATAAAATTAATTAAAGGAATAAAGCAGATGTATGTTGACTTTCATCCACTTTCTAAAGCACAAATTTGGATTTATTAAGAGACGTGCCGGGCCATTTTTTGCCGTAACAATAATACACTATATTTTAATTTGAAAAGGTAGCAACTACTAATTAACACCGTATAGCCCCTCTGCAAATATTTCTATGAAAGGTACTTAGTGATTAAGAGATGCAGCTGGAAAGCATGGTCAATGTTTATTTGGCTTAAGTATTTCAACAAGTTAATAAACAATTTCTCAAAAGAGTAGTAATGCAAAAACCAAAAATTAAAAGATACAATCAAATTACGTGGTTCATCTAATCAATATGACCAGTTACTAGTTTGTTTGTTTTTTAATTTTTTTTTTTTTGTTTTTTTATTCTTTTTTATTTTTAACAACAAACTAATCTACTCCTAAATCACTATTTATGTCTCTAACGAGACTTGAACACATGACCTCTTTACTGAGAGAGTCCTTCCTTACTGAGTTACTAGTTATGTTAGTGTGTAGGGTTAGGGTTTAGGCCTAAAGCCTCTAAGGTTTAGGTTTTTCTTTATATATTCCTATGTGATGTGATTGTACTAATCAAATAAGTTATTATCTATCATGGTATCAGAGCTTTAGGTTGGACTCTCTGCTGCTGACCACGACCTTTGGTTGTCGACCTCTACCTCCGAGAACCTTTTCTAGTCGTTGTCGGAGGTGCATTCCGAGTACCCCCCCCCCCCCCAATTCTCAAAATTTCTCCTTTTTCTCCTCCTAGAGAAACCCTAACTACTTTTGGTGTCAGACTTCGCAGATAAGTTCTAACTGCTAAAACCGTCGCCTCAAGATCTAGATTAAAGGAGGTGCATAACTAATATCACCCAAAGTACACATTTTCCATATTTGCCGGATCTTAAATTTATTTATAATGATTTATATCTTCAGTTGAGAAAACAGAAATCCATATGGATATAAGATTCACACAACAAGAATATCAAGTTTTAGTGGCGACGCCATTAGCGGCGACACCCAACATTTGTGTTAGGTGTCGCCACTAATGGGGTCACCACTAAAGCTCATCGACCCCAATCCACATGAAACTCTATAAACTTTATCCATCGATTTTGTGTATAATCCAACAACTAGAAGCACGATACATACACACCAATAGCGGCAACACCAATATCGGTGATGGGTGTCGTCGCTAATACAAAAAAAAATAGATCGCCAATACTTCCCTCCAAAGACATTGCGCGCCGCTAATACTCGTCGCAGATTATACCCTTCCTATAGTGTGACACTTAAAGCATGATTTCAATCGTTGTCGTGACAAAAATGATACTAGATGGAATGAAAGGAGCGATGATGACATGTAGCTATTTTTAGGATTTATGTTTTTTTGTAACGTTTTTTCGACATTTGGAAAGCGTGGTTTAAAAAGAAACAAAAAAACAAAAAACAAAAAACACTATTAATTAGTGGCGACATAAAGTGGCGACTCGGGCAACAACTCTGCACCTTCTCTAAAAATTCTTGGAAGGCCACTTATTTGTAGTCACCATATTGGTAAACATGTTTGCTAGATTCAAATAAAGTGTATTTGATCCGCGACATATAATTCTTTGTTGAATTGGAAGGCTAAAAATTAGCCACAAGATATTACATACATATTCTTTTTATCGTTAATAATCCGTCGTCAAATTGCTTCACCGTGATGTTGGAAACCTCTTTTTTTTGTAGTTAATTAATGCTCATCAGTAGTCCTAATTTAAGAGTCCCTATTAAGACCATCCACAATGAATAATGAATAAAAAAGTTGAATAAGGTGACATGCTTAATTGACATTCAACAGATTAAATTATATCGTTGTGAGTTGCCATGTTGGCGTTCAATAGATATGGAGTTCAATGATTTTTGAAAATAAAACTTTTTTAACTTCTAAGTATTTTTTTCTAAACGTTTTTCTATTATTTGCATATATTAAGACCATTCATGGGAAAAGGAGTATGACTTTTCAGATGGTGTCAAATTCTCATTCTCCCCCCACCCCCCTCCCCCCATTTTTTGCATTGTTTTTGTGTTTCTAAGTGGACCTATATGTTGTGACGTTGAGAAATAGAGGCGACATCGGGAGCAGTAGCGATGAACCAACATCAGTGACATATGTCGTCACTAAAGGTCGATAGTCTTGTAGTGAATAGAAAGTTGGATTTTCTTTTTCTATCTATCCATTCTTGGTGCATTCCTTTTCATTCTTTTTTTTTTTTGGAATGACAAATCTAATTTACTCCTAATAATTTGTGCATTATGAGTGATCTAATATGATAAGATTCAAACCCTTAATTAAGAACCCTAATCCGACCACCACCCTGTGTAATTCAAGTAACATGTATACTCTAAAACCAGTGAATTGACTTTTATTAATCGCATGAAATGCAAAACCCAATGGAGCACTATATTTATAGTGTCATGCTGAATACAATAATCCTAGTCTAATTCAAATACCTAGAAACAGGAAAATAGAATAAAAACTTTAAATAAAATAAACTTTCCTAATATAATAAAGTGCTTATCCAAAAATCCAGCTAACGATGTCTTTGGTAAACCTTATGAAACTGATGGGGCATATCATTACTACCCTCCCAAACATGCACCTTGTCCTTGAAATTGTGGAAATCGATGATGAATCATATCATAAGACTCTCATCACTACAAGAAAAACAGCCTTTTATGACGCGCAAACCACGACACTCGTTGATTTATGTTACGCAAAAGAGAGTGACATTAAAAAAATGTCATCTCTTCAAAAAATTTAAGGATAGAGGACACACATTATTGCATGCTCTTAAATTAGTGTCTCATGTAAAAAAATTAAAAACACGGAGGGCACTTGTGTGTCCTCTGTGAATGTCGTTTTATATTTTAAGAAACGCGCTCCTGAGAGGGAAAATGAAATCCCTAAATTTTTTCAACCCCGCCTTATTCTCCCTCGTCTCCACCCTCCGTGAATGTCGATTGTAGCGCCGATCGACAACTACGACTCATCAACCGTCAATCGAAGCTACCAGTTGAACAACCCCTAATCGACACCTCCACCTTCTTGTCTCTCCTTCTCCACCAGGTTTTCTCTCATCTCTATCCTCCACCTTCTCGATTGTAAAGGCGTCATTTTATAATTCTTATTATCCTCAATTACAAAAGGCGTCCAAATCTAGGGCTTTTTTCATAAAATCTCATTCCACCTCACCTCACACTCACATCTACACAATCGACCGTCACCACCATTCCTACCATCCACCGCCGCCAAACCATCTCTTCCATCACCACCACTTTCATATGCAAAAACTTTCAAGAAGCCTCGTCGTCCATATGAAAAGGAACGACTAGATGCGGAGCTGAAATTGGTCGTAGAATACTATCTGCGATGCAAGAGAGAGCTCTGGAGGGTGCAATATGCACTCTGGAGGGTTACCACCAAGTCAACCCATATTCACTCTTACACCTTTTTAATTTACATTTCAGGTCTCTCTCTCTCTCTCTCTCTCTCTCTCTCTCTCCCATCTTCAAACCACCAGAGAACTGATTGTTGCGATCTGTGTTTCTTGTTGAACTTTGAGGTTTTTCTTCAATCGATTCACGCACTGATTTTTGTAGTACTTAGCTTCTTGAACGAAATATGTCGATGTCGGATTCCGATACGTCGTCTCAAGGAGGCAACGAATATAAAAACTTCAGACAAATTACTCGTGATCGTGAGTTTCTTTCCCTATATGTACGATATATGCGCTTTTAATTGTTCACTTGTGTTTTCCAAGTTTAGTTGTGGTTGTGATCAAGTTGAATAAGTCGTGCAAAAGCCGCAGTGTATGCTTTTTGTTTGAATTGATCATATATTGAACTTGCGAAGTTGTGGTTTGAGTTTTCTTTCAATTCTTGATTGGTAAAAAAATCTGTAGGGATGTAGGCTCACATAGAGGAAAACGTTCATGCTTATAATTCCTCCACAATGTTTCCTGTCGAGACTTGAAAACTAAGGAAATCGTTAGTAAATTTGATGTGTTTTAAAAATAATTGAATTCACTATATCACTAGACTTATAGAGACCGAGTTCAGATGGTTATACTGGGAATTGGGAAAAGTAATGTTTGTTGTATGGGTTTCTACAGAACACCATTATATGAAATTATGGGTCATCGTATATTTCCCTCTTTCCTTCTCTTTCATTTAATCAGTCAGAAACAATCGGTTAGGATAATTATGAGAAGGAATGCAACAGGAGGATATAAGTGTAGTTGAGTTTTTGGAAGCACAATGAATAAGTTACAGAAGAGGACCATAATGCTGTATGGAAAGGTAAAGTCCAGTTTCCTCAGCTTTTGGATAATTAACAAAATAGAAAAGTTGGCTTAATTAGGGTGAAGGAAACTTATTTTAATGATCTTAACATATGAAACAATTGGTTCTGTATTTCTTTTGATCTTGTTTTATAATTTGTCTAATCTAACAGCAAGTTTTAGTGAAGTTGAATCAAAAAAGGATTGAAAGTTGAATCGAATAAGACTGTTATCTTGCTCATCAACGGTTAGCAATTGTTGATCATGCTTCTGGAGATCAACCGCTTTATAATGAAGACAAGACAGTTATTGTCACGGTAACTGGAATATTTTCTCATCAGCACATTTTCAAAATTACATACCAACAAATAGTCTAAACCAGACCAAAAGTCAAAATACTACCAACAAAAGTCAATGCATATTTTGTCATCCAATGAATCTCTTTTCTAATTCTTGTATAATGAAGCTAGCCAAACGTTGACTTTTTTTGGTTTTTAGGTTAATGGGGAGATATACAACCATAAAGCTTTAAGGGAGCAACCGAAGTCTCACAAGTTCAATACTGGAAGTGACTGTGAAGTGATTACCCATCTTGTAAGTGAAGAGTAGAGTATACAACATGTCAAGAAAAAAATGATATAAAATCAAATAGCATTTGAAATATTTGTCCTTAATATTTTGGGTTCTGTGACTAGTATGAGGAATATGGAGAAGACTTTGTGCACATGTTGGATGGAATGTTCTCTTTTGTGCTTCTAGACACTCGTGATAAAAGTTACATAGCAGCTAGGGATGCTATTGGGATCACCCCACTCTACATGGGCTGGGGCCTTGATGGTATGTATAAATCTTAATACTTAATATTTTTGTTTTTTCATTAATTATTTTTTAGTGTCTTATAAACTTTTAACTTCATCTGCAGGTTCTGTGTGGTTTGCTTCAGAAATGAAAGCTTTGAGTGATGACTGTGAACAGTTTATGTCATTCCTTCCTGGCCATATATATTCTAGCAAAGTCGGTATGCATTATTCATCCTTCAATCAAGCATCTATAATTTTACATTTTTATATCCATAAAATTCCTAAGTTTACAAGGTTTAACCTTTTATTATTTAATATATATATATATATATATATATATATATATATATATATATATATATATATATATATATATATATATATATATATATATATATGTAACAGGTTGGCTGAGAAGGTGGTATAACCCCACATGGTATTCAGAACGCATTCCTTCAACTCCATATGATTCCCTACTCCTACGCCATGCCTTTGAAAAGGTTTGTTACTTCTACAATTACTTTTTTTTTTAGTAAAATTTTTAATATGAGCTATTTACAGGCCGTAGTTAAGAGGCTAATGACGGATGTGCCCTTTGGTGTACTTCTTTCTGGAGTCCTTGATTCATCTCTTGTTGCTGCTGTTGCTTCACGCCACCTGGCTAACTCAGAAGCTTCCTGGCAGTGGGGATCACAGCTGCATACTTTTTGGCTTTTTGCATTGGATTGAAGGTCAGTTAACATTCTATTATCATATAGTATTTTTATTTTTTTTTCTAATTTTGTTGTTTAATATAAAGAAACCTAGTTTTTACATTTTATACTTTTATATAATCTACTGTCTTCGTTTATCTGTCATGGTGGATGACAAGTTCTTGCCTTTTTATGGTTAATGATCAACTGATACTAAAATTAAAAGACTCATTTTGTCAGTAAAATTGAAGAGAAAAATAAATAAATGTGATATTTTGGAAATGTTTGTTACTAAATTTGTGATTTAATTTTTATTTTTTCAGGGTTCTCCTGATTTGAGTGCTGCCAAAGAGGTAGCTGATTATCTTGGCACTCGCCACCATGAGTTTTACTTTACTGTCCAGGTAATTCTTTTCCAGGATCTGTTTTATACTTGAATAATCCACCTCACCTAGTTATAGTAAAAAATATTACTCAAAAACAAAGTATAATCTTCTGATAATAACAAAACTAGAAGTTCATGGTAGATTTTCCAAGATGCAGCACCTTAACAAGAAACATATGATGTAATGGAAAAATTTCCAAGATGCAGCACCTTAACAAGAAACATATGATGTAATGGAAAAAACTGAAAGTAGGATGCTTTAATAATAAATAAAGGAAATAGCAACATACTTTTTTGATTTGTTTATCATAGCATCCTGTTTTCAGTTTACCCTATTACAAGCACAACATTATACCTAAAAATCTACCCAGTGGTGGGGTTTAAAGTATGAGTTTTTGCTTTTTTGTAACGACCTTCTGAATTGAGCACCACACATGCATATCATCACATGTCCCTTTTGCTTATATATTGCTAATCTTTTCCATTCTTTAATGTTGGATTCGTTGAAGACCTTCTTCCTCTGTTCATGGAATTTGTAAATCAAACAAAACCATATTTTTTTCCGAGAAGTTTCTTATGCAACTAACAAATTCTTTCTTGAATATTGATCCAGGAACATGAGAGAGAACACTTCTCACAGTTTATAACAGAGGGTTTCACTTCTTATTGCAAGAGAATCCAGAAGAAGGTTTGGCTTGGCTTGGCTTCATGATTCATATCCATGTGTTGTTGTATCATGCAGAAAAAGGTCAATTCGTGTGAATTTTGCTCTACAGGTTTTGCAGAACTAGCGGCTGATCTGGTGGAGGCATCAGTTGCTCACTGCCACTTAATTGTTGCGTCCAAGTAAGTTTTTTCAGATATTTTCAGAAAATTGACTTTATTGTGTACAATCTAATAGTTATGGCATTGGGGGGAGGATACAATCTCATCTCAATAGCAAATTCAGTACTTTCTTGTGTACAAGTTCTATTAGAAGACAAACATATTTTTGAACCCTTTGAGATTTATCCATTTGAATCCACTTAGAGAGTAATCAAAGAGGTAAGTAAACATCTTAATCTGAAATTTTGTTTAATCTTTTTCTGAATTTGGGAAATTTTCATTTTTTTATTATATGTGTTCAGGTTCGTGAGGAATTGAGTGCATATTGGCGTGTACTTGAAACTATCTTGTTCTTGAGGTTCTTCATATTTCAATGCGAGATAGTCTACAAGCTCCAGCTCATTGGAAATAATACATCATTATTGGTACTTACTATTTTTATTTATTTCACTTTTTTTTCTACGTTAAAATATACTGATAAAAAATACATTACATGACATGATATGTTGGTTGAGTAGCTTTACGGGTTCTCATGGGTGGTGTTAGATGGAATTGTGATGATATACGCTCTAGTTCATAGGATCAAGGATTGTCTATTAGCCTGAGGTATTATCTGCAATGAACATTCCATGTTTGATTCTTCTAATAATTATATTAGCATATTAATTTTTTGACTTTTATTTGATCAGGTCATAAGAATTATCGGAGCAGGGGTTCATTAGTCTTAAAGAATTATGAAAGGCAAGATGCAACTCTACTTAGTTGGAATTTGATGTTTATCATCTTTGTGTAAATCTTTTTAGTTTGTATAGCATTACATTGTAGAAGGTGTCCCTTAATAGCAATGTAGTATTAGGTTATATAGTTAGGGAAAACCTCTTAATAACAATGTACAATTAGACCCCCTTGATATCAATGTATTACAATTTTTTGACATGATGTTATTGGATGAAGTTGATTGTTTTGGTATATATTTGTTTACATATTTTTGTATTATGCGTAAACGAATATCGTAAAGACGCGTCGTAAATGGTTACTAAAGTTTATGACATGCAAATGCGTGTCATCTTCATTTATGATAGGGGCTTCCTTGATACACATTGCGTGTCATAAACACGCACATCGTAAGGTTACGATACACAAATGCGTGTCGTCTTCCTTTATGACAGGGCCTTCCTTGATACGCATTGCGTGTCATAACTGCGCGTCATAAATGCGTGTCATAAATGCGCGTCGTAAATAGACGACGCGCAAAAGCGTGTCGTCTCTCGTTATGACAAGGCCTTCCTTGACACGCATTTGCGCATCGTCTGAGCGTTTTACGATACGTATTGCGCGTCGTAAAAGGCCGTTTTTCTAGTAGTGCATGTACGTTCATAGTCAGACAAGTCTTGCTAACAAATTAAAATTTCCAAACCACCACCATCCCCGAACGCCTTTCACTCCTTTCGGCCACAAGATAATCTCCCTGCCTTTCTTCAAAGTTGTTGAGAGTTGTGACGAATCCTATTGATTACAAATAGCCAATCGAAGTTGAGAAACATGAAAAACATTATGGATGCAGGCTGAATCTGGTAACTTTAAATTGTACACAACATTCGTTCAAGAACTTTAAATGGACCAAAATGATGGGTTATGAGCATAACATCATTCCTATGGTGTTCATGCAACCCTAATTGCTTTGATCTAGGTTTTTCTAAGTAAACAGACAACATTGAATACCAAAGCAATAAACCCTAATTGACTAGCATACAAATCTGAAATTGACATATGATTAAGGTTAGAATCATTACCTTGATTGTTATGTAGCAATAACAGTCACAAACCTCCTTGAACTTGACTTATGAAAGATTAGTGCCTCAAATGTTGCACCTCTAATGGAGTCACAAACACAACTAGCAACAAGACGACTTAGGAGAGGGAGGAGGAGGCACCAAAAACGTCTAGGGTTTCTCTTAGAAGGTTAGTCACGTTTTTGGGAGCCTTAGGCGTCTTTATATATTTGTGTGTGCTGCTAGGGTTTCAGGTGAAACCCTAATTCTCTGCTTAGGCCTTAAGTAACCCATGGAGTCCCTCTAGAAAGCCCTTGGACGAAAATCATATGGGCTTCCCATAGATTTCGTCCAATGCCCTTTCCATTGGAATCCATAGCCCAATTTGCAACTATCATATAATTGCAATATCAGTCCCCTTTATTTAATTAATCTCTTTTAGCCACAAAATTAATTCTTAATTAATTCTTGACTAATATTAATTAAACAATATGATTTCTCTTTTAATATATTATTCATATAATATATTAATAAATCATAATTAATCCTCTATCTCCTTAGTTCATCCTATCAGTTACTATGGTGAAGGCAACACAAAAGGACCATGCTCATAATCGGGTCAAGTACATACCAAAATAGTTATGGGCTTAGACACCTAATCCAACAGTCTCCCACTTGGATAAGTCTAAAAACTTTTTCGCATATGACTTCAGAACCTGATCAGCAATCGTAGCTTTCAAAAGCCGCTGTCAACTATGATCTTATCAGTAACGTGTCCTTTAGATAAGAGATCATATAATCCTCCATTCTAGATATCGTATGAACTGAGAGATGGATTTTAATCATACTCTCTGTTCATGTGTTGTTTCCTGATTTCCGATTTATGACGACTGACAACAGACTACAATTGAACACATCAACTTAGTCCAGGCTTGGCCAAGCACTTAGGGTGCCATCACTAAATCATCGAGGGGCCCACAAATATCGCTTTTATCCCACCTTGGGTAAAAGGAACGGATAAACTTTGACTCAAATGCTCTTGTACTTACTCATCAAATCACACACAACAATATGTTTTATAACACCAAGTTACTGGTGCGTTTACATATTATCAATGTTTAACCGACTTGCAAATTACAACTCACATGTCTCTGTTTCAAGAATATAAGATATTATCATCTCACTAATCACTCATGATAAAATCCATGAAGTGATTCAAGTGAGCGTGGGTTTAATCCAATGCTCAAATCTTAATTCATAAGCACTCGTGAATGTTGTAGCAAAATTTTGCTATGTCTAATACACTTTAGACAGTCTACAAACCAATTCACGACAGTCTAGCTTCAATACCTACTTCCAAAGTATTTATCGACTATGGATGGTTTGAATAATCATATTATTCGGGAATTCAAAACATGCAAATTGAAACACAAGAATAATCGAATCCAATTTGGCCTCAAACTTGTGAGTATAAATAAAACACCTTTTATTTAGTCACCGTATTGATTACACATTATTCACTGTATAATGTTTCGGATAATCAACTTATTACTTGAATTATAACAACTGTTCTCCCATGCTCCAAACATGCACACTATGTTTACCTATGGCCCATACTTTGTGAAATAGATCAATTGAACACATTTCCAACGATACTCATTTCATAACTCCTAATCCTTATCATAAGTGTAAGAATACATAATTCTTGCCACTACTAGAATATGTTAGATTCTAACATTTTATGCAACGATCCTTTCATAATGCCACAACATAAAGTCACCAAGACTCGGCCAATGGAATTACAAAGTGCTCTATTATGAAGTCTCACATTCAAAGTACATTCCTTTGAACATCCTTCTTGCATAAAAGTTTCTAATCAATACATATATTCTTAACGTCCAACTCCCAATATGGAAACATTTCCATATTTGCCATATGAAAACTCATTCTTAATAGATTCTTATCTATTGATAATAATGTCAATATGCTCCATTCAATACTTTACTTCCAACTGCGCATAAGTGACCAATCCTTAGCGAACCTCAGATTGTCCTTGACAGTTGTTTAATCAATTTAGTCAAATCCGGGTCTGATCCTTTTCCCTATTAATTCCCTAAGCATTTGGAAAATCAGAACCATCGGATATTATAACATATGCAATCGATCCTATACCTAAAGCGTATGGGATGCGATGCATAATGTCTTACATAAAGATGTGATACTTTACCAGTCTCCTGCTATAATATTTCTATTTGCCATATTATCATAATTTTGATTATGAAGAGGAATGCCATAATCATAACCAAATTTTGAGAACGCAATTATCCTTTCCATATATATAATTTCCTTAGGTTGAATCATTCCAACATAACATTCATATATATCTGACTAAATTTGATTAAAATCTCAAAATCTAAGCTTTTAGATTTGAAATGAAGTATAATATTCTCTCCCTTAATTATAACAAAACAACTTTTCTACCCCTACAACTTTGCAAAGTGAAACTTTTGTTTTCTATAATTAATATTGCTAACTCGTAACATAATAATCATGCTCCCACTACCATGATAATTATATCCTTACCAGCATAACACTTATGCTCCCACTAGCTTTGACAATTATTCAGAAAACAACTGGACTTCTAGAAATCAATACTTATTTATTCCCAAAGTTCATATTTCTAATACGAGATGCTTCGATAAAACTTTATCAAGCTTCTCAAACTCATACACCTTTCCTTAGAAAGCTCATATGTGTGTCTAAACCATTTTAGAACTTATAGGAATGAGTCTTAAATGTTCAAACTGATTGCCAAATCTCACAATTCGAACTATGAAGAGGGATGCCGTAATCATAATCGAATTTGAGAATGCAATTTAAACAATCGCTTTCTCCTTAAAATCTCTCTTAGTGAAAGCGTTTCCTCACAATGATTTTCATGAAACGGAGAGAAACCTTATGACACTCAGATTTTATAGTGTATGCGTTCCTATCCATGTGAATTTGCCATAACCATAACCATAAGACAATGTTTGTGACAAATCCAACTCATATGGATTGAACTTGTTTAATCTTAATTTCTTGCCTCATGGCAGCACAAATGCCCACCATTGATTCCAACTTGTTAAGCAGCTCACCTATATACATCAATGTACTTTCCATTGAACAAGGTGCTTTGCTTTTATGTAGTCAAATGAGAACTCATAGAACTCATATACATAGTTAACTTAACTGGAATGGCACAGAAACAAAATTTTGTGTCAACATGATAGGTTACAAACCTCAAGTCGTGTGCTAGTGTCTAATAGCTTTACTCTTGATTAGTTCTTGAACCTTTTCAAGATCATTTAGACTCCCACTGACTTCTTGACATATAAGATTCTCTTGTCAAGAAACATTTCTTGACAAACAAATATTCAAGAGTTAGTGAGGATTCTTATCAAGACAAACACTACACACATTGGTCTTAGTTGGTCTTTGTCTTATCCAAGACATCACAACTTACCAATTTCAAATGTGCAAGAGTAAGAAAAACAATTTTCTACTCCATATCTGATGAGTGTGTTAAATCTTCTTAAGATGTGTCACTCAAGTCACAATCTTGGAGTATGACTCTAAGACTTGATTTTGGAACGAAGTATGATTCACCTTTTGATTTAACCACTTCAACAATTCCTGATTCCTCTTCTTAGCCATACTAGTGCACTAAGATTTACTTAGAGGATCATTGTGATATGGTTTCATAATCAATGAGACGATCATAAAACATGATACTAAAGTACTCTCCCATCTTTTCAGATTAGAGAAACTTTTATCTTTTTTCCTAATTGATG